TAAAGAAACATTTACCTTTGTGTTAGCTGAGATCTAGCATTACAATTGCCTTTACAGGCACTCCTAGTGGCCTAGGTATGAAGTCTCGTCGATAACAGATTTTCGACACCGGCTAGATAATTAGATCGGATTCAGTCGCTGTCTGCAGTTGGATTATAGCGGCTTGTTGCTCTAATCGGTAGTATTCCGTGGTTTCTCTAATCAACGCCAGGCGAAAGCCGGAGCTGTACTCTAACAAACGGGCCACGAACCGCGCGCAATTTTTCCTTCAGTTTCCTAGTCCTTTTCTCTTCCCTTTCTTACACACACACACACACACACATACACACACACACACACACATGTATTATACTACGGAGACCAGTCGGGAATTTAGAGCTTCCCAGACCGGGGCGGCGTCGCGCTAGAGAAAAGACTTGGAGACAGAACCGCCCCCTTCCGCAAGCCGACGTATTTATCGGCGGCGGATCTTGCTATACAGCGCTGGACGAATACCGCCACATTCGGGTATATAGCCTCACGATCGACGCCTTGCCGTTTGTTTTGTTGGGGCGTCTGCTAGCTTAAGTGACGTTTGGGATACGGTGTTAGTTACGGCGTGTTGGAGGGATGAGCGTTGATAACCAGGCTACCGTGAATGTTAAACACTGGTTTATACCAATATTCATACTCATGAAAACACCTTCAATACCTACTGAAAAAATGACAAAATAATATCTCTAAAGTATTATGTCGCGTCAGCCTTTATTGTCAGGACGCGAAGACCATCACGCGAAGCATTATCAATTTGTCACGTTGCGTTCGGAAAGGGCTCGAGCGTTGCCATTTCAACAGTATTAGTGAGGTTCCCGTTGATCATGAATTTTGTACGCGATTCTCCCAATAACGTAAGGATTTTACATTCTCACGACACTGGTAACAAAACAGTGGATAAATCGTATTTCAGGATCTAATAAATTACTTTCTCTAACACGTGATGCCTGAATCCATGTTTTTTTATGTCCTTGATACTGAAAAATCGATTGACAGCAACACGTGTGTCTGTCGTACGTGAAGATCATGTATTTTTTTGAAAAAACTAGTAGGTTTCGAGTAATTTGTGGTTGAAATTAATCTAATTTACAAAAAAAACATTTTCTCAAAAAGCGCCCCTATTTTTTTCCCCACGGATAGATTAAGATAAGCTTAAAAGAATGGCGCTGGACTAAGTTTCGTTGAAATCTTCAAATTTTCGAAAATTACAATTTTAGAATTAATGCAAGAAAATATGTGATATTTAGCACCTGTAGTTCATTTCGAAAACGCAACGGCGGGCAGGGCCGTGCTGGTCACGTGTTCATAAAAATGCAAACGCCGCGCCATCTATTGGATATGTTCGACCCCTCGGTTCATTCCCGCATGCCTGAACTTTCCACAGCCTGACTTGGTCGACTAAAATGCAAACATTTACAAAATGTAACGTACCGTAACAGAAATAATATTTTTCTTCGTGTACTGTTAGTTTTTCTATTGTTGCTGCTAGTCTTTACAGGTTCATATGTTCATAAAAACAATTTCGTTTGTTGAAGACTAAAACGTCTTCCTTTGCTGATGATAAACAGTCCCTAAAGTACAATTTTAGAGGCAAATGTACGAAGCCTGATATTTCAACTCTCCCTTTTATTTTGCTATTTTACTGTTAATACGTACGTATAACGCAATTGATTAATTTGTTTACGTCTCCCAACAAATAACCTCATTCAAAGAAAAAAGATGTGAATGCAAATACTACAATATTTGAATATTTCATTTAAAATTTTTATAGATATGAGTTGATTTACTGAAACTGTTAATGGGTGTAGCTTTCGTTTGCATGTTGTAATGAATAAAGATATGATTGAAACTCGAGAGTAAATATATTTTCTTCATTCATGAGAATATGTCGTCCCGGATCCCACTGCCACAAGTAACTTTCCCGCTCGTGTATATCTCATTTTACACTCTTGTGCCTACCGGTCTCATTGACATGTCTTTTTGCCTAGCTTAACATTTAGATTTATGTAGATTTATTTAGTCAAAAAACAGTAAAAACTGTATGTGACGTATGGGGGAAAAATCTGCTCACGTTTTCTAGAGTTCCAGAATTACTTCCCATCTTTTTAAGTATAAATAGTTGAAATATAAGTAAAATTTAAAGATAAATAATTAAGAATAAAATTTAAAAAGCGCGAGATTAGCAACATTTGAAAAACTAGACATTTCCATTCCCGAGTTATATAGAAAACGTTTTGGCAACGGTAAACGAACTGCAGATTTTATTTTCTGCATTGCTAACAGAATCGCCCTTACCTCGTACCACTAGAGGCATAAGGAGACGTGCGCATAGTGAAGCTACATTTATGTCCAGAAGCAAAACAAGGGGCCATCTCAGCACTTGCTCAATGTATCAGAGAAACTGTTCAAAACCCCGATCGAGGTAGGGGTCATTGTCCTGGAAGCTGAGGTACATTATTTGTTACAAGCATATTAAGTCTGACAAAAAAATTATACAATACAAATGTAAACGAATTCATTATACATATGCTTTGTTAAATAAACATTATTTTGTCTTTTTTGTTGATCAGAATAGTCTCTAATTGTATAGAAACAGTTCTGCAACAGAAAAGAATTTACTTTTAACTTAAATTTGTGAACCGCCTTCAATTGTTTAATGTCATCTAGCAGTGCGTGTGAGCTGTTGATACTGACACTTGATGAATGTTTACGTCGTGTGCTGTAATTATAAATATCAGTATTGCATGAAAAGCTGTTCCCACCGTTAAGTAAGTCAGTTTTGACAAATATTACAGATTTCTAAATAAACATGGAAGGCAATGGTAAGATTCCAAGCTCAGTGGAAAGAAGCTTGCAGGGATCATACAGATGGCATTTTTTTATTATTCGAATAATTTTCTTTTCAATCTAAAGGTTTAGATACTTCATGATGAGCTTCCCCTGAATAGTATGCCATATCTCAGGCGGGAATGCACATTTACAAAATACACGCAACGAGCTGCATGAAGCCTGACAGAATTTGAAAGAAATCTGAATGCGTAACATAATGAATTTAATGAAGTGTTATTCTGTTATATGTACATTCTATTTGAAGTTTGACTGGATTGAGATTCCTAGAAATTTGGTACTTTAACATCAGCTAATTGCATATTGTTCATTTTCAATAGAGCATGTGATTGCTGTTTTCAAATGCAAAAGTGTACTGAAACGGTTTTTGCTTCGTTAACTATTAATTTGTTATTACAAAAACAATTTGAAACTTCTGACACCGTACTATTTATTGTTTCTTTTTTGTAAGGAATATTCGTGTAATCGTCAAACAGCACTGTTTTAACATTTTCTATAGACGAGGGCATATCGTTTACGTATAGCACAAAGAGGATGCGGGACTCCGTATTCACTTGGTAAAGAATTATTATTAAAGTATATATATATATATATATATATATATATATATATATATGCTCACACATTCAATTCAGAATTCATACTGTATTATTCTAAGTCCCAAAGTAGTTCACACAAGATTTTTACAATGAACTAAACTTCTTAGCGTCTGTAAATGTTTTGAAAACGAGCAAACGTTTGAAGAGAGTTTTCAATTTCGTACGAATTCCATAAAGAAACATGATAAAAGAGTAGCACAGCACTTTATTTTTTGTATAAAAGCATTACAAATGTGTAAGAGAATCAATGCTAATTTGGAGAAACAACTTAGGAAAAAACGGTGATCGGCCGTTCAGTTTAGCTCTACCTCTGCAACATTCTCTCGCTGCGATTGCCTGAATGTATGATGACGCAATTATTCGTGCCATAAAATAAAATATGTCAAAAACTGTTCCATAGTATATCCTTTTATGAACGATTTCTTGCTACCAAAAATGTCGGTTTATAATACTGGAATACAGAAAAAGGAACTTTGAAACATTTAAGTTTCCCTATAACTTTGAAACATATTGACGCAGAAGGGGTTTTCCCTGACAATAAAGATTTCTTAACCGCCGGTCGCGGAAGCTCACACAACCATATCAAAGTTTAACCTGTTCACATGAGCCATCTAAGGATGGCCATACTGTTTGTACTCCCCCATTCCTAGGCTTTGACTCTACAAGAGAGTGAAATAATTGTTTACTTCCCCAGAAAGATACTCTATGCGAAATTATACAAAAAGTTTGATGTGTCTCTCTCTCTAGGAAATTGAACTGCTTATTAAATGAGAAGCTAGTTTTTACTTCTTGTGTAAATGTATTATTTTCTAGTAAATAAGCAATTTAATACTATTATATTCAATGAAAGTACATAACTTTACATGATGTATCCTTCCAAGATGACCTTTTTTTTCAAAACTATTTTCTTTAAACCTTGTGCCTCTACCTCCCCCAAACACCAGGTACACGCTAATAATAATGTATTGCAAGTTCATTTACTTCAAATTTAGAAATAAGTCATCATACTTGTATTTCAAACAAATGTACAAAATCCTCTGAAACCAAATAATCCACCCCTTTCATCTTGCACAAGGATTGCGCTCAAGAATTCGTAATAAATTATTTCCTCCACACATTGTTTCAAAGCGCGAGATATTTTTCAAAATACTCCTATTATCGTGATGATTCCAAGCATTATTTTTCTGGCAAATGGGTCACTTAGCTTTTCTGTTTTGTAACTCTCTTGAGAGTTGCAAGCGAGCGCGGGCTAAATGCGGCGCAGCGGCAGCTGAGGGCGGTGGGCGTGCGCTGTCCGGGAACAGCCGTGGGTTTGTGCGTCCATTAGCATCCGGCGACGCGCCGCGGCGCCCGGGGAAGAGAAAGGGCGGGGAAGGGCAGAAGGGCTGAGGGCTTCTCGCCTCCCAGAGCGGGCCGTGGGCGAGAGAACAAAGGGGCGGCAAAGGGATTTGTTGATGCTTTCGCATCGCCTGGGACGCGGTTGAAGAGTCTCACATTGTACAGCTCGGCGGAGTGAACCCCATGGCGTCGCCTTCGCGATCTCCAGGGCCCACAGAATTCACACAGAGGGACAAACGAGGTTTGCAACACACAGGTGTTCCGAAAAGCACTTCGTCGAGAAGTAACATCGACCCTAATACATCAAATGGGCCAGGGAGCGCCAAAGGCTTTCGCAAAAGGTAAATTTTGGCATAAAGTAAGAAAGTGCTTGGTAAAATTTTATCTCATGCAATGTCTCGTAACGTTTGCGATGTCGTAATTCCATTGTCGGAATTTTGTTTTCGCAAATAACTAGTCCTACTCTCTTCCATGTTCTGGAGCATCTAGAGTTTTTTTTAACAAAAATAGAAACAAATGTCTATGTTCACGTGCAAAATGAATATCAGTACGTCTTTCTCTACCTACTTTAAGTATCAAATCCATAATAAAGCATGCAATATGCAAGAAATTGAATGAACTAGAAACTCATGATATTTTTTTTTCTTTCCAGGTTGTGCAGTTTGGCTTTGGAAACACCAAGACTCTTTTTGGGCTATGGCGCAAATACTGAATAAGCAACTTCCGTGTCATGGCAGCTCCAGTTTTCGAGTTCCTGCTCCTCTCTCGATTTCCTAACTAAGTTTTAACTTCAAACATCTGCGATAGAACTGCTGATTATCTAAATATTTAAGGTAAGTTTAATAATCCTAGGAATGTGATGTTTTGATTACTTTAAATCCTAAAGGGTATTAAAGCGTTTGGAATGCCAAAATGAATATATATCAATGCATTTACTATTACAAATGATATTAATTACAGCTATTGATGTTTTCTTAATATGAATTCAAATTAATATTGGTAAAAATAAGTCACACAATCAACGTCGATCGGTATTACGATTTAGTTTTAAGAATTCATAATTTTATTTGTTTCCCCCTCGCCACCTAAGTGTATTTCAATAACCTTATAAAATTATGTGTTAATTTATCGGAAAGTTAAAACTGAAACGCTTACCTAAATATTTTTTTGGAAATTTGTTATATTGCATATAACCGTGAACACAATAAAAGCGATACATAATATAGAGCATATACATATCTTAACGATACGTAACTTAGAGCTTGTTCCGACTGGGCCGGTGGGGAGGTCCCTATCAGCCGACGTGTTCGTTCTCGCATTTCATCAGGGGAAGAAAATCGCCACCCCCGAAACAAAACATACACACTATTAACGAGACGCACGATTATAGTGCACGCGACAGAGAACGTGTGCTCCACTCCATCAACCACCCGGCTTAAGTGGCTCAGGGCATCAACTGATGTTACTGTAGTGCCTCTAACCGGGAGGTCCTAGCGTTCGAGTCCCGGTAGTGGCAGGATTCTTGACTATAGCTAGACTGCATGGTCGAATTCAGCCGCTGTTTGGAGGAGAATTCCAGCGTCTGGCTGCTCTGATCAGAAGTGGTTTCTCCGACCACCATCAGATGAATGCTGGAGCAGCCCTAAGGAGCACCCCAGATATGTTAGAGCCTCTCCTAACAAACGGGCCACGGAGGTGTGCGATTTTTCGTTCCTCTACCTTGTCCTATCCTCGCTCCTTACTTACACGTACACATAGAAAATAATTTTGGAAAGCCATTATAGAAAATTATAGACAAGCCACGCAAGGATTACTATTAAAATCATTTTAGGAATTTATTCAAGCACTACCCTACCACGTCTGTTAGGAGACCACCTTACAGCTTACCTGGCTGAGGTGGTGCCCTGCTGGTAGGTCGGCGCCGGATCTCACCATCCAACTGGGGAATCTCCCTCTATAGAACATGCACTACATTTACGGGGCTAATCTCCTTAGCAGTGGACGTCCCCGGAATCACTAATCAATGAATCAATGACCGCCAAAGCCACTGAGCCGCGCGGGGGCGGGGCGGGTCGTGTGTTGCAGGCGGCGGCGCGACGGCGGCGGGCGTGCGCGACGGCGTAGCCGAGGGCTGGGGCCCCGCCGAGAAGAGGCGCGGCTGCTCGTGCGCAGGCATGGCGCTGCAGTGCAGGGTGAAGACGGCCAAGGTCTTCCTCGCCGTCTTCAACGTGCTCTTCTGGGTACGCACCCGCTGGGCTGGCTGCCTCTCCGTTCTGCTGGTTTTCATTCGGAAGCGAGACGGATCCTCTATTTTCCATATCTATTTTCCCAACGTTCAGGATTATCAAGTCACGCTGGTTTTGCTTTGAGGGCGGGATGAAATCTCTATTTTCCCAACCTATTTTTTCAAAGTACAAGATAACCAAGTCCCGCTGGTATTGCTTTGGAGGCGGGATAAATTCTCTATTTTCTCAATATACTCGTATTTTTCCAACGTACAAGATAATCAAGACCTTGAATTATTTTAACATGTCGAACTTTCCTTTATTATTGTTTTAAATATTTTTATTAGGGATTTTAGGGTATTTACAAAGGCCAATTGACTTTAGAAATAAGTCATTTTTAACTCGAAAATAATGATGTGAATGTCAAGATACAATAAGTGGTAAAAAACAAAAAAGGTAAAATGAGGATCAAAAACTACAAAAGTAATAAACAGTGTTCTCATGCTGTGTTGAATTTCAAAACTCTAACTTTCTGCCGGAGTTCCATGGTTTCAATTTTTTTTCTCCATTTACTTTCCTGCCCCCATTTGAATGATTGCGATGTTTGTGGACGAAAATGTATTGGTAATTACTCTCTTCTCTCCCCTGCGCTACAGAATCGTTCCACTATCTTAATACATCTGATAACAGTTCTTGACAGTGTAATGAGAGGTATTAAACAGGAAAAATTAATCAAACCCTTTTACCTCCCCTGAATATTTGGAACAATACGTGTTGAGAGCTTATACTTCACGTCGTATGACTTTTTACCCAAAAGTTTTTAAACAAGGATATGACCTTAAAATAAAGTGAAAATTTAGCAACAAGGCCTAGAATTATGTCATTTTACAAAATGGCAATATATCCAAATTATCAGTGTCGTATCTAGTGATGGCGAAGTGTGGCAAAACACCGATACATCGAGATACTTCAAAAAGTTTTCGATGTCGATGAAAACATCAACAAAAACATCGTTGTTTTAAATAAATGGAAAAATGTAAAGTAATATTTCCTGGTTCTAATGTGCTACCAAACATGTGAATGTTAGCTTAAAGTATATTCTGCTTTAAATTTGACCGTCATCTTAAATTTCTAATCAATGTTCTATGTACTCAAGATTCCAATTGCAGTTTAACGACTACCACGTACAAAATAATACAGGATGCAATACCATTGGAGAAAGATTGCGAATATCAAACGGTTTCGGCCCTCTGGTGATCGACGTTAGTAACAGTTGCAAATGGCTGTTGATTGTGAGCAATCCACAAATAAAATAGATAGTGAAAATTTAATTTATATCATGAGAATGTTTTTTGAAAACATAGATATTTCTGCACCAACATTTCGATCTGAAGAAAAAGTCGAACACAAAACATTGTTATAATATCGATGTTTTAAAATCTTTGTTTTTCGCCGCCCCTAGCCCACTGGTTTTAGTCCGCCCTGTGCGTTGGAGCCGCATCAGGAGTGTGCACCAGTGGGTGTCAGTGGGTAAGAGAGCGCGTGCGCTTGTCGGGCAGGTGGTGGGCGGCGTGCTGCTGGTGCTGGGCGCGTGGATCTTCCTCGACAACACCAACGAGCGCCTGCTGCTGCTGGCGGCGCCGCCTTCCATGTCTGCGCATGCGCTCTTCTTTATGGCGTACGCGTTGCTGGCGCTGGGGCTCGGAGCGCTCATTGCCGGCGTGCTGGGCTGCTGCGGTGCGCTGCAGGGCTCGCGCTGCCTGCTGGTGTCGGTGAGTGCTCTGCGTGTACAGCCGACAGATTTCTGTATGCTGTGAACAGGTAGTTAGTGGGAAATGGCCCAAACTGTAGTATACAAAAGAAAGCAATTTCTAAAAATGGATTTATTCCAACCACAATCAGTACAGAGGTAGACAAATTC